GACGCCTCGCAAGCCGCCTGGCCAGCAGTTTGGCAATCCGACACGCGCAGAGAAATCCTCGAGATGGCATTGGAAAAGGTCACGGCACGAGTGTTGAGTTTCGAGGAGCAGGTGCGTAGTATCGCTCAGGATTTTGTTTTGCCCAGCTGTCAAGCCGTTGCACCGAAGCTGAAGCTCATGCGCTCGATGCGGCTGGCATGGTGATGGTCAGACATCTTCGCTCAGATTACACCTTGCTGACCTGCTCGAGAATGACGAAGAGTGGGCAGAAGCAGCGGGCGTGCTGCAAGGCATTCCTCTGGATTCCGGACATCGAAGTGTTTCGGATTTGGTCAAGCTTCGCATCTTGATCCGCATCGTCCGCCTACTGCTAGAGTCCGACGACTCGGTAGCTGCGGATGTATCCCTCAAACGAGCCAGTCTGATCGTTCACAATGTGCCTGGCGCAGTCCCCGCTCTACCAGGCACAGAGAGCGAGGTGCCGCAGACCAGTGCAGAGGCTTTGCAGGAGGGCAAGCAGCTCGGACTGATGTACAAATTCTGCCAAGCTCGCATCTACGATGCCCAGAGACGCTTTTTGGATGCTGCGACGCGCTTTCACGACTTGTCGTACGTCACCGACATTCCGGAAAGCGAGCGCGAGAAAATGCTGTGAGTGTGCTTGTCTGGTATGCAGGCCAGACTGTACCTGACGACGAGTGCTTGCCTGGTCTATGACCTCAGCTCTGCAGCCGTCACCGCTTCCATCCTCTCCCCAGCAGGCCCTCAGAGATCTCGCATCTTGGCTACGCTCATGCGCGACGAGCGCTCAGCTTCGCTCGAACAGCACACAATCCTTTCGAGAGTCTTTTTAGATCAAATCGTACGCCCCGCCGAGATCGAAACCTTTGCAAAGCTCTTGGCTCCAGTGAGTCGTGGCCTTGCAAGGATGATGAGCTGGGGTCCATTGCTGACCATCTGCATTGATTTGGCAGCACCAACGAGCGGCATTGCCTCCCACCTCAAACGAAGCTGCTGTTGCATCCGTATCAGCAGAGGGCGACGTCGAGATGAGCGAGGGCGCATCTCCTGCTCAGCTGAACACTAGCACCAGAACAGGCCCGAGCACGGTGTTGGATCGCGCAATGATTGAGCACAATATCATTGCAGCCTCGCGTATATACAGCAACATTACAATCGCCGGTCTGGGCGCCTTGTTGGATCTGTCTTCAGTCGGTGAGCAGTAGGAATCCTGCCTTGCGGATAATTATGAGCTATGCTGAT